ATCTTGGCTGAAAACAATTATCCGTTGGGATTAATTATGAAATATTAAAAAATACTAAGAAATAAAGTGAAAGGAAACCATTATTTGGGATAAAACAAGGAGTTAGAAAATTTTTTGTTCAGACTCCTAATGCTACCATCCAGCAAACTTTCAAGAAAGGATATCAGATAGTGGTCTAAATTCTAGCGCTTTGCCGGATACGGGGACTTCGCAGATAAGTGGAAGAACAGGGAGTCTATCAAAATTAACAAAATAAAAAACATTCTGAATAAGAGGAACGAATGTAGGCAACTAAGTAAGAACTATCTTTGGTTGTTAAATAGAATTAGAGCGAGAGAGACATACAGACAGATGATAGAAGAAAATGGAACAGGAAGAGCCATTGATTAAAAGAAGACTTGAAAACACCAGAGTCTGTTTTTGGACCTAAAATTGCCAACCACCTCGTGGTTGTTGCATACACACACGAACACGCATCCACTAAGCTAAACCAAGATCCAGGATTACAGTATCAGACACTATTTTATTTACATATAAAAAAGTTGTGACAACATCCGCTCCCCTTCCTGTATCACTTTGACCCACTTATATGCATGTAGGACAGGCATACAATAGCTAACCAAATCGTGAAATGCCTCATCAAAATCGCAAAGTGAGGTATAAGAATTAGGTAGGATCCCAGCTGGTCACCTTTAGTGGTTTAGGTTTTTTTAGAATTGTTCGTGAATAATGGTTTTTGGCTCTGACGAAAGCTCAATACGGAATCATTGGGATCGTAGGACGATGAACCGAGGTCTTCTTCACAGAATTCAAAAGACCAAAGTCCAAGGCAACCCTCCTTCGGTATCTTGTGAGGCCAATCTACAAATCCCTTCTACTCACTTTCTCAAACGAAATGAAAAGTAAACCAATATCAATCTGCAATATATTATTTCGTGCATAGGCCTCATACATTTGCACTATATGTCTACTACATTAGAACAAAGAATTTACGGAATTAAAGTGTATTTGATTTGTCGACAATCCGATAAGAACATTTTTATGAGGGTAGACATACTCCAGGGAAAAATGAATATAAGCCAATGACTGAAGTTCGAAAACAAAATCTAGGGCACAAATGAAATTAATAATTAGAAGGGCTATAGTCATTTGTCAGGTGACTAAGGGGAATCACAATGCAAAATGAAGATCCAGAAACGACGCATGAGTTGCATTGTGGAAGAGTATTGTAATAAAAGTACTATAAATGGGTCAAAAAATTTTAAATCAGATTATAAGGTTAAATTACCGACTAGCAACATCCGTAGCGACCAGAACAGTTCTAGGAAAACGCCGGAACTTATTTAGGGCGCCCACTCGCTGGGCTTGCGGCATATCTCCGTTCAATGCAACAACAGGAGCCGTTGTAAACTGTCGTAAAAGAAGGCAAAGCCGATTACTAGCCAGACGTGTCCGCGTGAAAACAATTATGGAGTCGGATCTGAAGTTTACGGGAAGAGGGAATCAAATTAAGATAATATGAAGAAGTAAGGTTAGAGAGAAAAAAACATTTCAATAAACCTTAAATCATCGCCCAACTCCTCTGAGATTGACGTCAATCGAAGCATATCTAGGCCAGGAGCCGGCATAGTTGGAGTAAGCGCAACTCGTATGAGATGAACCAAATACGCGTCCAATTCATCTTGAGGGACCAATAAGATGAACTGCTGTAAGGTTGAGACAGCTTGATACTTGCTGACTCGTGTAGAGACATGAACAGGGTCACGTATGCAAGAGCGTTGGAGCTTGCCGACCTGAGTTAAAATTAAAAGTTCGAAAAGCATTGAATGGATAAATAATTGGATGACTATGTACATGAAATAATCTGCCATGCTTTCAAGTACTTATGAATAAGGCGCCAAAACCAATATATGCTGAATTTACAGCAAACAAACAACCGTGACATCGCAGAATGTTAGCTTGACACGTTAACCACTTGGTTACATTCCCTTAAATAGAGTGAATACATTTCATATTACTGATTTACTGGTAGTCTCGATACTCTACTTAAACAGGAAAAATAAGTAACGTAGTCGATTGATATAACAAATATACGTTTGCTTCATCGAAAATCTCATCAAAGAACATGATATGGCAAAAGGCCTGGCCTTCCTTTAAATTCACATCTGCTCTGTGACCCAAGGGCACTCGTGGCAATGTGGCCGAGTGGGTAACGTGTCAAGCTCCCATTCTAAACTGTCACGGTTCGACTTCCGCTGTGGGTGTTAATAAGGCCGAAGCAAGGTCGAAAATGTTGTCCACCCTGGATGAGAACAACTATTGGGAAAGCAAGGCTATGTGAAATTAAATGGAAACGTCAGCTATATTCATATCATTATGGGAAATCCTACTACCCGTGCTTCATCACCTTAAACGAAATTTGGTGAATACATCTCATATTATTAATAAATATGCAAACGAATGATAAAATAAAATATATTTATTGAGTATTTATGTATTTGTAGGTTCAAATAAGCTCTAAAACGAAATAATGATATAAAATTATTTTATATGAGATATATTCACCCTATTCATATAATTGTAGGAAAATTCAACTGCCAGTCCTTCATCACCTTAAATAGGGTGAAGGCATCTAATAAAACTGCTTTACTGGTAGTCTCGAAATCCTACTTATAAACGAAAAATAAAGGTATTTTTTTCTAGTATGGACAGGTCTGGACTCGTACAGGAGCAGAAATAAGGGAGTCGGTAGCGGATTAGAACTGAAAATTAGTAGGACCAAATAAGGTCACACGTACGCTATAAAACAAGAGTACTAGAAGATTAGAGCCCTTCTATTAAAATATGAGTTTATTTCATTTGCAGCTAACAAATGAGTAAAATAGATCAGGTACTAAGTGAAGGAATGCATATATTAAAAGTGGAAAATGCAAATGATGACGGAATGTGACGAAAGCAACGATTAAAATTTTAATAATAAAAAAACGGCAAATTACTTTGAAATATTCAAACACCGCTTGCAATCAGCCAAAATCAATCAAACAATGATTGTATTATGAAGAAGGCTTTCACAACTATCAGCAAATCGTGGATAAGAATGATGGACTGATAGTTGAATTTTTCTTCCATTAAATGATTGGTCTTATTTCCCGAAAAGTGCTCAAATGTTAGCCGGACTGCAGTTTCGACCTCACCTAGATATCATCAACATCCTCAAAGGGAATCAAGCCCATAGGATCAGCGTATCTCACCATTGCCGTGTCTGAAATGTTGGCTGCATCAGTTCAGCAGGCTGTCTCGACTTATTTGTTTCAGTATTTTATCTCTCACTCGTTCGTACTGCTTGGCAACTCATACAAGTACAAACTTCAATTCGGTCTGTACACCTGACCACCATATAACCTCAGCAACAAATATTTTGATTTTATACCTCTCTTATTAATCTAAGGAAAGGCATCATGATGTTACTCGTCTAAAAATACCGGATAGTTTCAAACTAAAATAGTAGTTAAATAGAATAATACGAAAGAAGTAAAACTAGGCAAGGAAATAAGTGGATAAGAGATAATATTTATAGAGAGTGCGATATGTACTTCTAAAATGCTTACGAAAAACGCTAAAGATTTGTCATGTATGCCTTGCTAATATGTGATTTGGAACTGATAATAGGAGATAAATAAGGAGCATATTTGTTAGGAAATTTCATTGGAAAAAATGAAGTATGGGAAATTTTTATGGTTGTATTCATAAATATTTGGGCATTTACCAAGATTAATAATACAATACAAATTATAATGGTATAGCAAATAGCAAAATAATCTTGCCAAATAGGAAAAAAAGTCATCCATAAAGAACAGCAACCTAAACAAGAATTTCTATCCATGCTTTATCGACTTAAAATGATATTGAAGTTGTTTGACCTTTTTTTTTACAACTTGGTCATATTGGTAGGATGACTTAAGGAACGCACCTTGTCCTCAGTCCATTGTATGCATAATCATTTCCCAAGTCGGACCGTGGACGCGGTACATTCTCAGACGTTTCGCCGGCATTGTCAGTGAGTTTTACCATTCGTAGCAACATATTAGAACTCGTCTAAGAGACAATTGAAGCCAATCCTTTGATAAAACGTGTGCTAAACAGTTATGGTATCTCCTCTTCTGCCCTGGCCTATTCCCATTTCCTATGTCCTCCAATCACGCCTTCACCGTCACAATTTTTTACTTGCTTAATTAAATGTGGTACAATGTGTCCTTTTTTAGCGGGTTTCATGAGAACATTCCGCACTCCACGCTGGCCTTTTAACCCCCCTTCATCCTTGTGCTGGGAATGTTGATCAGAGTCTGCCATATTGGTACATAATCCTCCTTCTATAGTTCTTACCACAGTCTCTCTCTTGCCCCGTAAGATCCGTCTGCCCTCTCCCTGGCTCACATATTTCAGTCGCCCCTGTCACCACATCTGTGCCATTCGAGGCGATATTAGCCCTACCCTGCGTCTGGGTGACTTATTCGAGGCTCAAGCCTCTGAGTAAGCGTCATGGTTAGGCCTTTGTCACATGGACCACGTCTCTTATAAAAACTATTGTCAGCCGAACAGCTCCCATCGCCGCCGCGTCTATCCTGTTTCTATCTCTAACACCAAGTCCATGACTTCCCATGCCCTAGTCTCTTGTATGCCAACCCACAAACGTTGAGGTTCAACATTGAACCTAACCAAAGTAAGCAGTAAAACAAAATTTGTGGGTCGAGTGAAATATGTGGACCAGGGAGAGGGCAGACGGATCTTACAGGGAAGGAGAGAGACTGTGGTAAGATCTATGGAAGGGGGATTGCGTAACAATATGACAGACTCTGATCAACATTCCCAGCACAAGGATGAAGGGAGGTAAGAAGGCCAACATAGAGTGCGGAGGGTTCTCATGAAAGCCGCTAAAAAGGGCACACAGTACCACATTTAATTAAGCAAGTAAAAAATTGTGATGAAGGCGTGATTGGAGGTTATAGGTAATGTGATAGGCCAGGGCAGAACGGGAGATATTATTAACACTGTTAGGCCCACGGCGTGATTGGAGGATATAGGAAATGTGAATAGGCCAGGGCAGAAGGGGAGATACCATAACTGTTTAGCAAATGTTTGGTCAAAATATCGGTTTTACTTGTCTCTTTGAAGTGTTGTAATATAGTGCTACGAATGGTAAAACTCACTAAAGATACCGACTACGATGCCTGTGAAACGTCTGGGAATGTAGCACGTCCACGGTCCGACTTTGGAAATGATTATGC